TCAAGAAGTTCCAGATTTTGGGATTTTGGAGTGTTTGGGTTTTAGAATTTTGGGTTGGTGATACTCACTCAGCCTGTAAAGGAAAAAGCACTCTGAGGATCCACCCTTTTTAACTGGAAATGCAGCCGACCACTTGGGTACTTTGTTAAATTCATCCTAGGTTTGTGCCTCCACTCTCCTAACCTGTGCTGAGAAGTCCACAAATGCATACAGTATTCCAGGTGGCCCTGCCCTACATGGCCCATCACACATGCTGAAAAGCTGCTGGATTCAGGGAGCCTGACTGGAAGACACCAGTCTGGATAGGCAAGAGGATGAGAACAGAGCATCTGGTTGCTAAGTGACACTCTGTGGGCTTCTGCAGGCACCCCACTGCAGGCTGGTGAGGTTGTCACCTGCAGGTTAGGTTGCCTCACTGTGTATTTACCTTGCTCCTGGAATTTTTTCAGGGGCTTATTATTGCTTTTAAATCCCCCCTCTCTGTATGCTCATCTGTAAGTATGGACATGTATATCATTGTGCATGCATGGAGGTCAGAGGACATCCTTTGGTATGGTCCTCACCTTCCACTTTGTTTGAGACTGTCTCTTTTGTTCTCTCGCCAGGGATTTTTTTTTCTGGTTTTTCTGAGACAAGACTTCTTTGTGTATATCCCTGGCTGTCTTAGAACTTACTCTGTAGACCAGGCTGGCCTTGAACTCACAGAGATACACCTGCCACTGCCTCCTGAGTGCTGGGATTAAAGGCATGTGCCACCACCACCTGGCACTCCGGGGATTTTTTAATCTTGGAAGAAAGTGACTAATCTGAACCCTACCAAGGCCCTAAGGCTGGTCCATGACACATCGGCTTTGCTGCCTGTCTGAGGCATACATCCATGGTGTGCTGCAGATGGTTACCTGACGTAGAGATTGCCAAAAGGCTTTGACCATGGCATGGACAAGATACTGTCACCTAGACCAGGTGCCTAGGGTGGAAGGTATGTGTGGCCTCACCCACGAGTCACTAGTTTGAAAGACAAGAGACAAGCACAGGGCATTACATGCAAGGCTGTCATTTCAAGTGGTGTTAGGCTGGGCTGTGGTGTGTTACAGGCTAGCAGTCACATTACAAGTTCCACACACTGGGAGAGAGTCACGCACTCCCACAGACACCTGGAGGGTATACACAGTGCTAGCTCTGACACTTGACCAGGGTCCATAGCCCAGCTTTTCCTGCCAGGCAGACCTGGCCTGCTCCTGTCAGAGTGGACGCTTCCAGGAGCTGCAGAAGGCAGCTGACTGGCACTCAGGGACCAGGGCTTTGGGCTCCTGCTCTGACAGTTATTTGTAAGTCATTTGCATGTTGTGTGCCTGAGAGAGACACACCCACAGACTAAATTCAGACATAAACTTTTCACCTCAGAGCTGTGTGAGCTCACTAGAGCACTTTCCGAGGCTTGTTTGCTGCCGTCTCTCAGCCTCCCCTCCCTTCTCCCTGACCTCTTGCTTTCTCTTTAAACACTCCCTTCCCTTTCCTTCCCATTGAAGCTGTTTGCTCCTGAACAGTCAGATTCTAGGAGAAATGGTGTCTTAGCTGGCAGGATTCTTTGCAAACTAGACCTCAACCCACTCCTCAGTGAAATGGAGCAGACCCTCCTGGAGGGAGGGAAGAGAATACCATGAGGAATACCATGAAGTTGCTTGTAATCCACTATTTTGCATTTCAATTATTTGACTGGGTCTTTTAATATAGCCCAGGTTGGTTTAAACTCTTTTTTAAAAGAAAGATTTATTTATTTTTATTTTATGTGTAGGAGTGTTTTATCTGCATGTATGTCTGTGCACCACACGTGTGCAGTGCCCATGAAGGCCAGAAGAGGGAGCTGAATGCCCTGAAAGCGGAGTTGCAGATGGCTGTGAGCTACTGTGTGCCAGGAGCACCTCCTGACAGGGTTGCAGCCAACATAACTGACATAGGCTGGCTCTAGGCCTCCATACAAAGACACCCCATGTGCTCTGCCCACATTCTCTCTTCCTGGAGTCCTGTAGGGTGAAGATTATGGGGGTTTCATATCCAGGAACATCCAGGAATGTGGACCTCATAGAGAAGACCCTGAGTTGTCATGTGTGGGTTGAACTACATACAACCTCGTATTCCTGCAGACATTGAAGCTATAACTCCTGGTACCAGTGAAGGTGGCTTTACTTGCAATGAGGATCAGTGTTTAGGTGAAATCACTAGGGTGGGCCCTAATCCAATACAACGGTGTCCTCACACTAAGGGGAAATGGACACCGAGGATGCCACACACAGGTAGAAGTGGACATCTTGGGTAACCAGTGCAATGATTCATCCAGGAAACAGGCATGCAGCCACGATGTTAGACCACGCCACTCATTTCACTCAGTTCTCAACAGAACACCAGGTTGGAAGAAGGGAGAATCTGCATAGAGTCCCAGGAAGTTGTCCATGAGCTCTTACATGTCAGCAAATACAAACAGCATATGCTGTCTTCCTTGTCTTCCACCCCCTCCTCCTCCTCCTCCTCCTCCTCCTCCTCCTCCTCCTCCTCCTCCTCCTCCTCCTCCTTCTCCTCCTCCTCTTCTTTGTTTTTCCAGACAGGGTTTCTCTGCGTATCCCTGACTGTTCTAGAACTCACTCTGTGGACCAGGCTGGCCTCAAACTCAAATTTGCCTGCCTCTGCCTCCAGAGTGCTGGGATTAAAGATGTGCACAACAATATTTGGCTACATTTTTTTTTTTTTTGAGACAAGGTATCTTTATTATGTAGGTCTGGCTGTTCTGGAACTCAGTCTGTAGACCAAGCTGGCCTTGAACTCACAGAGATCCACCTGCTTCTGCCTGTGCTGATATTAAAGGTGTGCACCACCATGCCCAGCTCCAGCACACGCTTTCTTAAGAAAGGCAATGTTGAGACACTGTGGAAGCCTAATTTTTAAGTGAAGATATCAGGTAGGGCTTAAGCAGGAACAGTTTCTTAAAGAGCATAGTCAAGCTGCTGAAGACCACAGAGGCCACTTGGGTGGGAAGCTGTAGCTCGATCCTACAGCCGGGTTTCTTCCCTGCTGTGTGTCCACTGGAGTGTGCAGCATGTTGACGGCAAATGTTGATACTCAAGCAGTTGTACCAGACTCCTCAGGGGACGTGGACCGAAACGCCAGAGCCTCAGACCTCCCAGGCTCTTGGAACAGTCCCCAGGTGGGCTGGAGATGAGGCTTGGGAGTGAGGCCTCTTTACTCTAAAAGCCCATCTCTCCTGAGGGGCTGTAGCACAGACTGTCCAAGTGGCAAATACCTTCTCAGCATTTGTTTCTATTTACTCTGATGGCCACTCTTCCCTCCCCTCCCCTCCCCTCACCCCTCCCTCCCTCTCCCTCCCTTCCTTCTTCCTTTCTTCCTCCTTTCTCTTTCTCTCATGGAGTTCAGGTAGGCCTCACCCCCCTGCCCTCAAATTTGCTGTGTAGTGGAGGATGACCTTGAACTATTGTTCCTCCTCCAGTCTATTCCCTAGTGTGGGGGTGACAAGTATGTGTCACCATACCCAGTCCACATGGTTCTGGGGACCGAACCCAGGGCTTCATGCATGCTGGGGGAGCACTGGATCAACTGAGTCCCACCCCAGCCCCAACTTCTGCCTTTAAAGAATCTTGTCACCCGTTTATTTCTGATTTTCTTCCTCATGCTGGAATTCTGAACCTCTCTACACACATCTCAGACTAGCAGGCTCCTACCGCAACTTGAGATAGCTTCTAAAGGTTGTCTCTTTGACCGAATCTGCTTTGCCCAGGTTCAAATGCTTCCACCAGAAGCTGGTTGTCAGTTTGATATTCTCCTAGGGCAGGGCACCGTACTGTGATATCTGTGAGAAGGGTTGGTGGCAGAGGAGAGGGATGGGGCTTCTTGGAGACAGTAGAAGGGAGGGGCCAAGGACACAGTCCCTTTCCTTCTCAGCTTTATCATCCACCACATGCAGCATTCCAATTTCCCAAACACACAGTGCATGTGGTGGTCTGCGTGGGGCTTTGTCTAGGGAACACTTGAGTTCTTTTAGGGGTTCCTGAACGTCCTGTGCTTTGGCAGACCTAGTCCTTGGCCACATGTGAGTCAGAGTCCTCCATGTCCTTTTCCCTGGGCCTTGACCTTGGCCCCTGGCCAGTCTTTGGATCATATCATGTAGTCTCAGTGATCCCCCGGCTGGGTCAGTTTAGCAAGAATCTTCTGATTACCCTGGCTGTCTGACCAAGTCCTTATCCTTGCCTCTGCCTCTCCCCTCCTCCCCTTGACCACAGCAAGAACAAGGTCTATCAGCAAGAATCCCTGCTGCTGACGTCTCTCAGTGATCTCCCATCCACTCTACTCCTCCCCTCCACCCCCAGCTGCCCTCGCTGCATTTGGAGTTGAGCTGCATCTCTCTCCTGTATCATATCTACCGTAATGGTCCTCAGTCAGATCTCCCCAAGATCTTAACAATCCTCAGGCAACTCCTATCACTTGGGTTGTGAGCCTTAACCTTTGATGGCTGAGCCATCTCTCCAGCCCAGGGGTCTTAATCACACTGCTGTGTAGTGTCTCCACGTCATGGACATGACCATCTGACCTGCAGGCAGATAAACCTTTGAGCATCCATGGAGCCTTAGAGGAGGCAAGAATGAAGCCCCCTATGGACTGCTGTTCAAATCCAACCCAGTCTTGGGCTACAACCAGAAGATTTCATCCACGACCTGGGTTATCTGGGGAATGGCCACCCAACATCAGCACTCATAGGCTGTGGTGGATCCTAGACATTTTCAGGGACACCAGTGACCCTCAGCTGGGTCACTTTGATCCTCATGACCATTTTATTTACCACCAGTAGTGGCTGCTAGGGGGCCCCATTGGACCTACAGGGCCCGATTCATCCTCAGGCCCTGGAGCTGGGCGTGGGGTTGGGTTGGATTGTTTCATGAACCTTGGCTTCGACTCTTCTGAGTTCAGAAAGATTTCAGAGGAGCGGCACTTACTTCTCTTATCCGTGGTGTTGTGCACAGTCACAGTGGGTACACCAGGGCCTGGGTCCGGAGAGCAGAGAGACCACAAGAGGGAAAAAAAAAAAAAAACAAGGTCATTAGTGTAGAACAAAAGGAGAAAATAAGCTTTCCTTATGATGTATAGACTGTCTGGGTCTAGAGGATAATGGAGCCAGAAGAGATGTGGCTCTCTAATATCGCAGCCAGGTTAATTACCAGGATTCCTGTTGATGGTACAGATGATGGCTACAGTTGGGCATTTGACAAGTGAGGGAGATGCTTTCGCCACACAAAAATGAGGACCTGAGTTTGGATTCCTGGAGCCCACATGAAGGGCTGGTGGGCTTGGCATCCTACCTGCCAATTCCAGGCTCAGAAGGCAGGTATAGAAGAGCCCCAGAACAGGCTAACTAGTGAGATGAGCAACACTGGCATGTTCTGGGTTTGATTGAGAGTGTCTGCCTCAATGAATATGGAGGAAAAGCAACTGAGGATGATTCCTGACATCAACCTCAGGCCCCTACATGCTTGTGCACACACAAATGCATGTGTACCCACACTCATATACAAACACATGTATGCTAGTATGCAAACACACATAAGAATTGAAGATAAAAACAATAGATTTTATGATGGTGTCCTCTTGAAGGATATTCAATCTATACTTTGCTTATTAGCTTCTGAAGAAAGCCCCTGGCTACTTCGCCTTCTCTGTGTGCTTCTCCAATTCTTTGAACAAGACAGACAGGTCTCCGATTCTGACAGACACCACCAGTCATTCCTGTACAGCTTTCCAGATCACCACATGGCACAAACCGCCATTTTACAAAGTATTGTGCTTGGATTAAAGCCCCATAACCCCATTTTCACTCTTGAGCAGCAGCCCCACAACACTTTTCTGGACTCAGTATATATTACTCAAGTCTCAAGCTTGAAAAAAAAAAAAAAAAAAGGTCACCAGCACCCTGGCAGGAAGCCACCATAGTCTCGAGTCTCTGACCCCCTGTGACGCTTTTGCAAACTCCTCAGCATGTGGGGAGTGGTTTTTGAATGTGTGAATCTGTTCACTGAACCTCTTCAATGGGAACCTTCCCAGTTTCAGGGCTGTTCGGGTCTCAGGAGTTAGGAGGAAGCTCCCGGGACAACAGGCCCTGCCCGTCAGCCACCCACAGGTCCACTGCAGCCTTCAGCAATAGCAGGTCCTTGAAGAAGGCCTCCTCAATAATGTTTGTTGGGTGGATGCATGTTTAGCTGCTAGGCTGGGGACCTCTCCCAACACCCTCTTGCCTCTGTGGTTCTCTGCACGCTTGGGTCTGCCTGCTGTGCCTGCTTCAGGGTCTGAGGGAGGCTGAGCTGCCCCCAGGGGCCACTTGCTCTTCCTGGCCCCAGATCTCAGCATGGCTGGTCTTTCCCTTCTCTGCTGGAAAGCCTTTCACTGCTTAGTGAAAGAGCACCCACTCACGACCACAGGGCTGGTCCCTCACTCGCCTTCTCTTACAGGGTATTACAGCACAGGCCATGATGTCAGGCCTTGGACATTATGGGCACAGTGGTTCTCATCCCTTATCTGCAGCATTAGGACACAGCTCCATGATGGACAAGTGTTTCTTCCATCCGGTGCTGCCATTTTCAATATCTAAATACATTCTCGGAGTAATGCGGAAAGAGTGAGATGGAGCACTAAGGAGACACCGCCCTTTGGGCTGGGGTAGGGACAAAAGCAGAAAAAACAAGCTTGAGGTGAGTGAGATATGGAGGGTAGCACGGCCAGGGTGGCCATCTGCACTTGGCTGGGGACTCTGGGGTGCTTGGAAGTGTGTGTGTGGGATATCAATGTTACAGAATGCATATTTAGGAAGAACAATGCTGGGGCTTTGCATCCATAGGGTCCGTGTCAGAACTTCCTGCCTACTTCCAGGGTCCATGTGATAAATGGCTAAGTTGAGAGCCAGGGATCTGCCATGAGTCCTAGCGTGGCTAACAGACCTCATACAAGATCTGGAGCGTGGACTGCCCAGTCCAGGCCCAAGAAGGATGCTCTGTGTTGATAGGCAGAGTGAGGCAGGCTCAGCCAGAGTGTGCTGGAGTGTGCTGCTGGGCTAGAGTCACAGACTGAGGTCACAGCAGAGCAGAGACTGACTGCCCTGGGACTGACCCAGACACCACTCAGTGCACACAGTGAAGGACCAGGAGGCCCAATACCTCCCTTTTAAAGCACATATTCATTACGCGAGATAGTGGCTTTCACTGAAACAACCCCACACTTACGTATATCATCATGTTAACCTCCCTTGTCCTCTCTTACTGCTTTCCCCTCAGGTTCCTTTTCTCTTCCATTATAGTCTTCTCTACTGTCTTGTCTTAAAAAATATCTAGAATGGGGCTGGAGAGATGGCCCGGTAGCTAAGAGTATATACTGCTCTTGCCGAGGGCCTGAGCTTGGTTTCTGGTACCCACAATGGGCAGCTCACAATGGCTTGCCACTCTAGCTCCAGGCTGATCCGATGCCTCTGGCCTCTGAGGAACCTGTCCTCATGTGTGCATACCCCCACATAGATACACACATGCACATAATTAAAGATGGAAACAATCTAGCAGGTGGGAGGGGTGTGTGTTGGGGACATCTTGGAGAAGTGGGAGGGGAGTTGGGGATGGATAGGTATATAAGACATGTTGCGTACAAATTTAAAATCGTCAAAGATAAATAAATAAAACCTAGATTTTGGATATGAGAGAAAATGTACATTATTTGTCTTTCTGATTTTGGCTTATAGCGCTTAACATGATGCTCTCAGGTCCACCCACTTTTGTAAAAATGATGGATTCTCATTCTTCTTAATGGCTGAGTAATACTCCCCTCCCATGTGTATGCTGCATTCTCCTTATCGGTCACCAGTGGGTGGGCACCTTGGCTGACTCAGCCACTGTGAACAAAGCTGTGACAAGTACAAGCGGCTCTGGAGTTTCCTGACTGCGATTCCTTCTTCGAGGAGTGGTACAGCTGATCACACAGTCCTGGAACCTCCATACTGATTTCTATAGTGACTGTTCTACAACTCCTGTCCCTTCCCCCACCCTATGACCCCTGCTTCTCCATCCAGAGACAGGCCGGTCAGGGAAAAAAAAAAAAACTCAGGCAGCTGGTTACTGTGAATTTCCCAGAAGCAATGAAAACTTTTCACTATAAACACATCCCTGTGGTACTTAGGGTATACTGACAAAAATTATTTGTTATTTGCCCGAAATTCACATGTGCTAGGTAGCCAGTACTTTTATTCGATGACTCTGGCACTCCCTACGTAGGAGGGGAAAAGCCACGGAACATCTGTCTGTGCACCCCGATGGGCAGGTAAGCACTGACTGCAGGGTTAAACTATGGAGGCTTCTACTGAGAGCTCCTCTCCTGTCAGCCCTGTTCTGTCAGGCCTTCCCCAGGAGCCTGCGCAGGGAGCCAAGCAGTCATTGAGAGATAAAGCGCCTACAGCTGTTTGCCATGCACATTTTGAGGTGAAAAAATTTGCTAACAGAGCATGCCCCATGCTCTTATTAATAATGTAAACAATTATTATTTATTCAGTGGCTACGATGTAAAAGGCATCCTGGTAACTCTCTCCTATGAATCATTTCAAGTCCAATCTTCACAGCCCTTCTGCAGAGACGCTTCAAACAGTTTACAGACAAGAAAACAGTGACACAGCCAGCTTTAAGTCTTTTGTCTCATTCATGCAGCGAGGAAGGCACAGAGCTTGGATGAATTTTCATTTTCTAATACAGCGACGTAATACATGTCTTGAAACAAAAATTCAAATAGTAAAGAAAGGGACTAAGTGACAGCTAAGGGACCCACTTCATCCCCTCCTCCCAGAAAGAGCCCAAACCCTTCTAGAATGTCGTAGTGTGTGTCTGTATATATGTAGCCACATTTACATAGAAGCATTTTTTAAAAACTTTTATTATAAAAACGTTGCAAATAAAAAAAAAATCACACGCAAAATGAACCAGACCTGAAATCTGTACAACTCAACGGACTTCTGAACCGTTAGTGCAGCCGTTCCACACGAAGCCGGGGAGCTTCATACTGGGTTTTACACTTTCACTGTTGAATATATTATATGCAATTATCCACCCCCAAACATGAAAATTCCATGACAGACCTAGACCTAGAAGAGCTTTATATCTTCTTTCATAACTATGTTAGGAAATACTGAAACACTTGAAAAGCTTTATTATTACATATATATTTTGAGACCAGGTCTCACTATGTAGTTCTAGTTGTCCTAGAACTAACTTTGTAGACCAGGCTGGTCTTGGAATTACAAAAGTCCTCCTGCCTCTGACTCCTGAGTGCTGGGGTTAAAGGTATGCACCACCACACCTGTCTTATTTTATGTATATTTTTAAGTTATTTTTTTTTTCTGTGTATGTATGGGTGTTTTGCTTGCATGCATACCTTTGCACCAAGTGCCTGCAATGCTCTCATGGACCAGAAGAGGGCGTTGGGTCCTCCTCTGGAACTGGAGTTACAGACAATTGTGAGCTTCCATGTGGGTGCTGGGAATCAAACCTGTGTCTTCTGGAAGAGCAGCAAGTGCTCTTCACCACTGAGTCATCTCTGCAGCCCCAATATTTTAAACATATAGACACAAAAATGCTCATATGTATGGCTATAAATGTCACTGAATCTTAATAGCAAACCAGATTTGTCCTGCTTGCTTAGAAAATATGACAGTGGATGGATTTGAGCTTTTCTGCATATCCTTTTCTAATTGCCATAAAACTTACAGTGGAAAAACCCAGGGTGGGGCTGAGGAGATGCTCGTCAGGCAAAGTGTTGGTTGGGCAAGCATGTGGACCTGAGTTGGACCCCCAAGACTCATGTAAAAGCTGGGCATGGTGGCAGAGCCTGTAATCCCAACATGTGGAACTGGATGCAGGAGCATCCTGGAGGCTTGCAGTCTAGCTAATTGGTGAGCTCCAGGTTCTATGAGAGACCTTGTTTAAACAGATTAAGGTGAAAATCGATCAAGACAGTTACCCAACAT